GGAAAACACAGCGTATTTCATTTCATTCATCATCAAGTGCGCTCGTTCTTGTTGTGTGGTCAATCTGGCAACCTGTGTGGGCGTCAAGTCTGAGGAGGAGGGGCAGGGTGAAAAAAAACCTCTCCAATATTTTGAATTTAGACTGCAATACCTAGTTCAACCACTCGGTGTCAATCCTACATACAGCAGCTTTAAGTTTCATATTAATTTTTATTGTATATATTCTCTTCTCTCTTTTTTCAGTGTTGATTGTAATCTGATTTTGTAAGTGATCAATCTAGCAGTCATTCTAGATCTATGATTTATCATGTTCATAACATATAGTGATTAGTCAATAATCACTGACGAAAAATAATGATTCTTCTTTTTCTCTCTTTTGCTTGTTTCAACAGGAGCTAACTACACCCCAAAGGCTATTTTAGGAGCCACAGCACTGAGCATCTTTGGCTTTGTAAGTATGTTTTAACTATCAGACGCAGTATGTGACATTAGATTAACTGCAGCTGACAGAAATATTTTAATATAATAATAATTAAAGAGATGTTTTGATATATATATGATCAAGCATCCCACACCTGAGATATGCAATATCTCTCTGATGTTTCCTCTTTTCCTCCCTTTTTCTTGTGTCAGCAGGAGCCAATTACACCCCAGAGACTCTTTTAAGGGCCACCTAGAATCACGGCACCTTTGGCTTTGTAAGTTTTTTAAAAATTTGTATATGATCACTCATATGTTGGCCTGGGGATTGATAGAGATTTCATAATTCCATTTGATTCACAAGCTTTTAATTCATTTCTGATCTTGATTCAATTCAGTTTGATTCACAATTATTCTTATTCTCTTATTCTGATTCCAGTTTCCATACGATTTAACTGGATTAAAATATTTCTGAGAATTTGATGACAGCCATTTATGTACCTTGATTTAGTATTCATTTAGGTTATAATCCTGTATTCTTCAAGAGTATACTTCTAGATCGACTCAAAAGCCTGTTTTGCTCTAATATTTTCAAACAATACAAATGTTACAGTAGCTGATACACACTGATATTCCTTGGATCAAGAGCTGTCACAACTAAAAAGATACTTTAAAAAAGTTCAAACTTTAAGTTTGAAGGACCATAAAGTGACTCTTTAATGTGATTTGATGTGTACATTCAGGCAATTAATGGAGTTCCCTGACAAGGATGTGCAAAAAAGCAATACTGTTAAAACAGTACTATACTGGGAATAACTGCTGTTGCACAAGTTGTTACCTTGTCTGTCCATGAACAAATTTAGTTGACATAAACTCATGACCATTTCTCACACATTTCCCCTCTGTTTTGTTTCAGATCAGCTGTCAGTGGTTATGGAGGCCATGCAGCCAAGACCAACTAGGATGCTTGTTGCCATATTTCTTTTTGTTGCAATATTGTCATGATCTCTGCTTTGATTTGCTGTTATGAATTCAGTTCTCTATTTTTTTTTTGTAATGTTCCAGAATAAAGCACAATAAATAAGTAAGTAATGGATGTATTTAATAGTGACAGTGAATAAAAAATATACTGTTGTACATGGATCAGGTCACTTATTTGGAATTTATTAAATTCAAATATTCAAAGGATTTATAAAATAAATTACAGTAAA